GACCGCATTACTGCAGAAGCTGCACCGATCTGCCTGTCAATCTCCCGTTCCATCCTTCCCTCACTCGTGAACAAGACCCCAAGATACTTGAACTCCTCCACTTGAGGCAGGAACTCTCCACCAACCTGAAGGGAACAAGCCACCCTTTTCCGACTGAGAACCATGGCCTCGGATTTGGAGGTGCTGATTCTCATCCCAGCCGCTTCACACTCGGCTGCAAACCGCCCCAGTGCACGCTGGAGGTCCTGGTTTGATGGGGCCAACAGGACAACGTCATCTGCAAAAAGCAGAGATGAGATCCTGTGGTCCCCAAACCGGACTCCCTCCGGCCCCTGGCTGCGCCTAGAAATTCTGTCCATAAAAATAATGAACAGAACCGGTGACAAAGGGCAGCTCTGCCGGAGTCCAACATGCACTGGAAACAAGTCTGACTTTCTGCTGGCAATGCGAACCAAGCTCCTGCTCCGGTCGTACAGGGACAGGACAGCCCTTAGCAGGTTTCTCATGTCTTACTACTTAATTTACATATATCCCAGCATGCAATGAAAGCAACACCTACTGTACTAATGCCAAAAAATGTCTAACAGTAACAATAGTTGCTAAATTATTAAACTTAAATGTGTAAATGCCATATTCTGCATCAAATTGCAAGTTTAATAATAAATATTGCTGTATGCTAATGTGCAAAACACATTAAATCATTTAATGATTTTTTTAAAAAGTGCAGGTATTGCAATAATTGGCAGTGGCACAACATATCAGAAGGTATATTATGTCTGAGCAGTAAAGCAAAAAAAGGCTATTGGACAGGTAATGATAACAACAGTAGAAAAGCTTGTTACTGCTCAGATAGTCACGGACACTGATGAATATATTTGTTACGTCCGCAGCCGGTACCCCCGTCCCCTCACATGCAGGTAATCGATCCAGGCGACGAGACACGCCTAACACAGCTGATTCCCATCTGCCCAGTTCCACTTAACCCGAGCACTGGCATGTTCTCATCGCCAGATCGTTGTACGTTCCACACTATACAGACCCTGGCTCTTTGCACTCAACTCTGAAGTTCAAACTAGTTTGTGCCTTTCTCTCTGTGAGTACGATATTCAGACTTACCTGCCTCGTTTGACTCTCTGTCCTCCCGGTCAGCTAGCAAGCTTTTCCTCTCCTGGCTCCTGCTCCTCCTCGGCGCCCTCGCCTATGCAGCTTACTGCTTTGACGCTGCAGTGTCTGCCTCAGTTTCTTAGTTCCTGTGCTCCACCTGCTTCTCGCTGCTGCAGATCACTGGCTCCCCACTGTTTCACCACAGCACTGCCTTCTGTTCCTCTGGCTCCGGTTCTTATCTTTCTCAACACTGCAACAGATCTCCAGCTTTACGCTGCACCACCTCAGCATTCATCTCAGCTCTCCCGAGTCCTGTTCTCCATCTGCCTCCACACTGCCACAGATCATCCGCTCCACACTGCATCACCTCAGCCTCACCCTTGACTTCTCTGGTCCTGGTTCTCCTACCTCCAGTCTCTGCTCCTATGAGAATCTCCTCCAAGGCATCCAATACTCCTCCTTCCCCTGTGGCCTTGATTCTTCCCCTTGGTGATCGTTGGAGCAGCTCTGCCTCCGGCGCCATGTCCCAGGTCGCTACCAGCGTGATCTGCTGTGCCTCCCCACGGTTCCCATCTCCCCAGAGCTTCAAGCCCGAGTATTGCATTTGGGTCAACCTGCCTACCAGCCTCTGGGCGTAACAATATTGGCCAGCGGCTGGTGGGGCGTCAGGTTTTTCAGAGGGGCCCACAGCAACTGTTTTTGGTCCATTGGCTGTTCTGGACTTTTGACAAGAAATCCAGACTTTGCATCAAACTGGTTTGGTGTTTATTTGCAAATTCACAATATGAATGTATTATATCATTCTTAAGTAAAATTTCTCATCAACAGGACCAGAAAGCCCTAAGGCCCAGCAGGTCCACACAGGTGATTTCAACTATTATGGCTGATTAAGCATCTGCTTAGGTTTGGCAGAGCAAACTGGACAGAGAAAGAAATGTCAATCAAACACTGTCTGTATTCACCCACACTGTAATGAACAGAGGTCTAATCAGGCAATGTGAAACCATGTGTGGGTGTAGCACAGTGTGTAGAGCCTTTACATTAACAGGGCTATAAAGGAACACACATTATGACAAAGCTGACAGCTGTCTTGCTCTTACTCAGGGTCAGCAGACCTTTTTCACAGCAGACACTGTGACATGTCACGGCAGGAATAGCACAGGTGTAACTGATAGCATTCACGATGGTTGCATTCCGTTTATGTGAGCCATTTCCACTGGTATTGTGTGTACTTGTTGAGTCACATGGCTTAGCAGGGCATGTAATGGAACTCATGTTGTTAGCTGCACCTGTGCTTTTCTTACTGTGACAACACAAAGTGTCTGCTGTGAAGAAAGCCTGTAATACCCACACTGAAGTCTTGGTTTTCATAATGTAATCAGCAGTAAAATCTGTAATTAATTTCCACTAGAAATCAATAAGTTAATGATCAGCCAGTGTCTCAGGTTGCACAGTCTGTGGCTTAATGTGGAGCGACTCTGTTACTGTGTTGGCCTCTTGCCTCTGACTGCAACAAAACTATCTCGCTACGACATGGCCACACAGAATGGCTGCCACCAGCATAAATCAAACGCACACACTGAACACATGTACTCAATGTGTGGAAACACAATAAACACAAACAGATAAGTGAACACACATTCTCACAGGCATCACAAATGAGTTATGCCATGCCCTGCCATTTTCCTTGTGTGTGTTTTACAGTTTTGCTACTTGAGCCACACCCCATTTGGTACTAGATGTTATAAAGTGACAAAGAGGCAACATGAGGGATAACTGAAACTCTTCTTCTGATCTCATCATCAGTTGCTGGACTAAATAAAGTGTGTGTATAGTATCTTCCTGTGTGTCTGGAGCAGCCTAGATTAGTGTGAATGGCAGGTGGTATTTTGAGCCTTTCACAGCTGCTGGCCAAGGTGGTGAGGGATGTATGTGTGTGTGTGTGGCAATAGCGACTCCCCTCTCTCTTTCCTCTTTCATCCCTCCCTTTATTCATGTCTTCCCTTCCCCTGCTGCTTGTCTCTGCATGCCCAATGTGGTTTCAGATAGAGAGCTGCAGAGTCTAATATTTCTACACTGATGCCTGGCGGTCTCCATGTCTCACACACAAACCCATCTATTTAGTCCCCCCATTGCAAGGCACTCTCTTCTTCTGTCTTTTGACAGAGCTCTAATCCACCTTTGCGCCCGAGGCTGACAAAGAAGTCAACATTAATTGCAATGTGTACACGCAGATGTTATTTCAGGTATCAAGGCAAAGTGTTGATGGATGTTCTGTGTTTTCAAGTTGTGCTAGATGATAAGGAGTGAGGCTGGGGGGATTTATGGAGTGGAAATGTTATTTGAGAACTCTGATTCAGTGCCAGATTTTAGGGCTTGATGAACATTCAGGGGTTTCAAGACATTAGTACTCTTGAGTGCCAGGGATTTACATGCATACAGCTACAGGCAGGCTGCGGGCAGTGTACAGGTGGGACTGGACAGAAAGCAGAATTTGGGAAAGATGAATGAAGAACAGTATCCCAAATTAGTTGTGCAGTATCAGCTGTGGGGAGGGCTTTGGCAGCACTGCCCAGACAGAGTTTCTGTCCAGATGGGAAATTAGAGTGCATATACAGATGGTAAAGTGCCAAGATTTTAGCATCATCTGTTGGAGAAAATGGTCATTCACTGATGGTGATGAGCCACGTGTGTGCAGACAGAGATCTCCAATGTTCATGAATGAATGGAAACACAAGAGGAGCAGCTCTCACCTTTAGATCTCACAGATTAGTTTGGCTCATTTGGCTCAGTATGTGAATGTGCAGCTAGAGGGCCAGAAAATGTATGAGCAGGAAACAGCAAGGTGTCAATAGTAGCTGAGGCTACTGAAAGAAGCAGGAAGATGTGCACTATTTTTGGGTTGTATATTGAGAAGTACTTGTGTCAACAACTGGCAATTAGTCAGTCAATTTTATTTGTGTAGCACAGATTTGTACATGTCTATGCAATTTTAAGTACTTTACACTTAACTGATGACAACTTGAATTTGAGGGTAATGCAAGCATAAAATAAACATGTTGATAATGTTATAAAACCAGTAAAATAAAAAAGGGGAGCAGGCACAACTGCAACTAACATTATATTCATTATCAATTAATGAGTGGGCTGTTCTTTCAGTTAACTCATTAAATGTGGGAACTACAGATACATTCCTATGTCATGATGTATCCCATTGTCAGTATTGTGATATAATAGATTTCCTGGAAATTGAAAAACTGTTAATGCACTAAATAACCAGATAGGAAAATGAAATACCAGAAAAATCAAGGTTGTGAATCATATTGATAAGAAATCATTTTAAAAGCCATCATTCCCATATACCCATCCTGCTCATTGATTTACAACATTGCCATCATGAATTGATATAAACCGAGGGGATGGACATTAGAGTGCAGATGGTAGGGAATATTCTTATAATCACCGTTTTCCAGAGCTGAATGCAATGTCTTTTTTTAAATAATTAATAGCTCATGTATTTTTTTTTTTT